GGGGCGCCGCGTGGAGTGGTCCCACGCGGCCCGTCACACTTGGAGGCGTCGGCGTGGGCGCGCGGGGAGGCGGTAGGAGCGCGGTGCTGCGTCTCTGCGCCGGCGGGAGCTGCGCGGTGGCCCATGGTCTGGTGTGTCTGCGCGCGTGTGTGCACACGTGTGGGCGGACCTCTGGGCGCCTCTGCGCGGCGAGCACCACATGGGGTCTTGGGTTGTCCGGAAGAGTGCGGGCGTATGCAAGTGGAGGGCGTGCGGGCCGCCGGGCGGCGGCGCAGGCTGGAGCCGCAGGGCGGAGCGGGGGCGCGCGGGGCTTTGTGCCCGCGGGCGGTGGAGCGTGTCCCGCGCGTGTGCTCGTGGGTGCCGGCGTTCTCTGGCCCGGGGGCTGACGGCGTCCGGAGGCTGCTACGCCTGTCCGGCCTTTCCCGCCCCCGCCCGCTGCTTCTGGGAACCCTGCGCCCTCCCTCCCTGCGCGGCGGCGGGACCCGCCCCTGGGTTCCTCAAAAGCCCGGCGGGGCGCAAGGGAGGCCGGCCCGGCGTAGCTCGCGCAGAGCTGGGAGAGGCAGGAGGGGAGAGAGAAGCGGCGAAGATGCTGCCTCAGCCACAGCCAGCGAACTGGTACTAGCCATCCCCGGTCCCCGCCCTGCGCGGGCCAGACTCTCCATACGCTTTGCTTTTGCGCGCCTCCGCACTCTCTCTGCCTCTGCCTCGACGGCCCGGACCTGGCTGTTTTCCATGCCCCCTCCGTGGCCCCCGCTATTCCTCCGTACCCTCAGTCTATTTCCCTTCTATTCGCCTTCCTTTCCCTCCCGGTGCCCTCTACTCTTCTCACCCCCTGGAGTCCCCGGACAGGGGCTGAGGGCCAGGCAATGGAGGTAAGGGGCAGGCCAACGAAGTCTGTGCAGTGAGTTCTGGGTGGACCTTGGCCACAAGCATCCAGCCAGGGGATGTGAGGAGGGGGCATCCATGGGCAGTAGGGCCGGGGGCTCCAAGGACCTTTGAGTGGGTAGGGGTTGGAGGGGGAGGGGGTAAGGGTGTTAGGCCAGGCTATTGATCCCAGCATCCCTGGTTCTGCCCACAGTGACCGCAGCTCCCCAGGAGCCCCCTGCCCGACCCCCCCAGGCGGGCAGTGGAATTGGCCGGGCCCCTGGCCGCGCCATGCGCAGCACCACGCTGCTGGCGCTGCTGGCGCTGGTCCTGCTGTACTTGGTGTCGGGTGCCCTGGTGTTCCAGGCCCTGGAGCAGCCCCACGAGCAGCAGGCCCAGAGGGAGCTGGGGGAGGTTCGAGAGAAGTTCCTGAGGGCCCATCCATGTGTGAGCGACCAGGAGCTGGGACACTTCATTAAGGTGCGTGGGTGGGCGAGAGCCCCTTCATTGGTCACCTATGCCAGGGGTGTACTGTGCTGAGATGCTGCTTCCAGACTGATGCCCCTGGGGGCAGGGGGCAGCTGGGGTGGGGTGGGGGCAGAAACACTGGTCCAGGTCTCTGTTTCTCAATATGGCGGCCGTGGGTCGTTTTTTCTCCTTATGGTACCTGGCACAAGTGCTATCGTCCCAGAATGTCTCCTTCAGTGTGTGATGGTGGTTGAACGAAGGAAGGAAAGAAGGAATAAATGGCTGTAGCACGTAGGATATGTTCCATTTTCACAGGTCTAACTCACTGGTTTAGGGTTAGGGTTGCAAGATAAAATCCAGATGGCCAGTTCAATTGGAATTTCAGACAAACAGCAAATACTTTTTTAGTATAAGTATGTCCCAGGCAGTATTTTTATTTGCTAAACCTGGCAACGCTACACTAGTTCTGAGACATTTTTGGAGCCACAGATGCCTCAAGGAAGCCTAAGGAGAACACTGGGACCGCTCCCCCCACCTCCAGAAAAGTGCACATATAAACATGTACAGATGATTCCGGAGGGTTCCAGAATCCGCTGAAGCTCTCCCATGCCACCATGGATGCCAGGTTAAGCACCCCTTTCCCTCCAAGACACATGTTTACCATGGGAAGGTGGGGGGGGGGGAGGCCAAGGCAGGGATGAGGGGCAGCACCAGGCTTCCTTGGGACACTCATGGTCAACCTTGGTCCAGTGGCTTAAGAAAGTTCTAGACTTCAGCCTTCTGGGATGTAGTCAGGCAAGCACCTCTGTTGCTTTTTCTGATTTCTGAGTCACCGTCACATAGAAAGGAGTTCTGGTGGCATAGTGGTTAAGCACTTGGCTACTAACCAGAAGGTCGGTGGTTCAGACCCACCAGCTTCTCCATGGAGAAAGATGCAGCAGTCTGCTTCCATAAAGATTCACAGCCTTGGAAACCTTATGGAGCAGTTCTACTCTGCCCTACAGGGTCGCTAGGAGTTGGAATCGACTCGATGGCATTGGGTTTGGTTTTCGTTTTGGTCACGTAGAAAAACCCTAAGATTTAATTTTAATAAATTAATGTTTATTACTTAATTTTAGAGTACCCCTCTTTCTCTGTCTGTTAGTGGAGGGAGGGACCGGTCAACATGGAGGCCTCAGAGTTCCAGCTGATTCTCAAGGTAGCAGGACCCAGGGCAGATGAGGGTGGGGTAGGGCCAGGACACTGGCAGCCTGACATTGTTTCTGGATACTTCCAGTATGCCAGTGAGGCCCAGAGAGGCCTGGGCCAGAGAATGTGCCCGACCAGACCACAGGGCAGAGGGAGGGAGGGAACCTGACCTATTTTATCTTCGCCAACCGAATTGCTTTTTTCCTGGATAAGACAGAAAAAGAAAGGGAGAGGCTGGGCCTAGAAGTGAGTGTGAGGGGCAGCTGCTTGATTTCTTTTCTACAATAAGGTTCACTCCTTGATGTAGTCAATCATGCAGCAAATAATGCACCTACTGTGTGCTAGGTGCTGTGCTCTACACTATATCAGGATGGAAAAAATGCGGGCTCTGCTTTGGAGGCTGTCACACCTAGGAGAGGGGACAGACCCACAGACAGACAGGTCACTGTAGGATGCCGTGGAAAGGGAGCCTTTCTTCTTTCCTTCTTTGCTGAGCACCTATTATGTGCCGGGCCCTGGGCTGGGTGCTGGGGGTAAAGAGGGAGATCCCAGAGGGCTTTGGAAGAGCTGGGACTGGAAATGAGCCAGAGGAGATGGGTAGAGTTTAGAGATGTGTCATTTGGGGGCAAGAGACTCCCAGGTGGAGAAACAGCATGGGCCAAGGCGTGGAGGCTGGACAGCTCCAAGTGTTTTTGCAGAATCCAGATTTACCAGATGCCTTAGTCATTTGAAACAAAAATCAGAACACACAGGATGACAAAGGACTTTTTTCCCCCTAAGCAGTAAATTTATTGGAAAAGTTTTGCAAAATAAAAATTAAATCGCTTAATCATACATTTCACTTTGTGGCTTTATTTTAAAAAATATATTATTACAGGAAATGGAATCGTTTCAGAAAATCTGGGAGCAAGGGCACTATAACTTGGGGTCCCAGATGGCAATCCCAGTAGAGATGACTGGGAAAAGGGGCATTGGGACCAGATTGAAAAAGGGCTTGAATGCTGGGCTAGGGAGTTGGGACTCCATTCTATAGACAGCAGGGAGCCATGGCTGATTCTAAAGAGTCACTTTAGGAAAATTAATTTGGAATGGGTCTTGCTATTGAGGATTGCAGCCAGCGAGAAAAGGTGGTTTATGATCCCACCCACACCCAATGCTTTGTGCCTTGGTTCTGTACTCCTTGGGGTAGGACCCCTTGCACCCCTGCCTCCTTATTGTCTCATTATGCTCTGACTTCCTATCTCCTAGGGCAGGCACTCTCAAAACACAGACCCTGCCCCAAGGGATCTGCAGGCTGGCAGGAGGGGAAGACACATGGACATTCCATTCATTCGATAATGTTTATTGAGCACCTACTATGTGGCACATGGTTTGACTTGGACTTCAGTGAGGTGGAGGTGGGGTATGTCTATGAACCTCCTAAAATTTGATGAAATATTTGAGAAGAGAATATTGGAAGAGAAGATCCCAAACTTTCATTAATTTTCTAAAGCGAAGGACTCAAACTCAGCTTTCCAATAGGGGCAATAGCGAATGGTGAGGTCTGTGGAAAGCTGGAAATCACAGGGCGTATAATCACATCAAAGCTTATTTAACAGACACATATGGTTTACTCTGTTGTTAAGTGCTTTTAGCTCTTCACAAGAACTCTATGAGATGGGTACTATTATCATCATCCGCCTTGGTAGATGCAGAAACTGAGGCAGAGGGAGTTAACTTGCTCATTACACAGCAAGTAAGTGAGGCCACCAAGATCTGAACCCAGGCAGTCTGGTCCCAGAGTCCATGCTCCTGACCACTGTAAAACTGAAGCTCTGTTGTGTGAAATTAGGGGGCAGATAATGCAAACATTTCTAAAACACAGGAAGTCAAACAGACTTGGCTGCAGGTGGATTGGGTCACCCAATTTGCCATCTCTGCTCATGGGACGGCATTCAGGGAGGCCAGGAGAAGGGGAGAATTGAGAGAGGAAGGAACTACCCTGGAGACTGGAGGGGCAGGAAGGTGGCCAGGACAGGAGGGAGGACTGAGGTTCCTCCTTCTGAACCTTGTCCTGCAGGAGGTGGCTGATGCCCTGGGAGGGGGTGCGGACCCTGAAACCAACTCAACCAGCAACAGCAGCCACTCAGTCTGGAACCTGGGCAGCGCCTTCTTTTTCTCCGGCACCATCATCACCACCATCGGTGCGGGAGGGGACAGGGCATATGGAGGGGCCGTGGGGGTGGGGTGGGCTTCCTCGAGGGAGAAGGTGCAGGGGGAGGTAGGGTGCGAAAGCGGCCCCTAGACGTCCGGCACGCCCCTCTGCCCAGGCTATGGCAACGCGGCCCTGCGCACTGACGCGGGGCGCCTCTTCTGCATCTTTTACGCGCTGGTGGGGATCCCTCTGTTCGGGATCCTGTTGGCGGGGGTCGGGGACCGCCTGGGTTCCTCCCTGCGTCGCGGTATCGGCCACATCGAAGCCATCTTCCTGGTGAGCTGCTCCACTCTGGGTGCGTCCTTGCGCTGGGCTCCGGAGACCCTTCCCTACTTCCTGGCACGTGAGCGCCTGTCCCTAGACCGCAAGAGCCTGGCGCGCAGGCTGGGGGGAGGGGGAGGTGCTGGGAGTGGAGGAGGTGGGTGTCTCCTCGCTCCTGCCTACCGCCCCTCCCCACAGAAGTGGCACGTGCCACCGGAGCTGGTGCGGGTGCTGTCCGCGGTGCTCTTCCTGTTGATCGGCTGCCTGCTCTTTGTCCTCACGCCCACGTTCGTGTTCTGCTACGTGGAGGGCTGGAGCAAACTGGAGGCCATCTACTTCGTCATAGTGACGCTCACCACAGTGGGCTTCGGCGACTATGTGGCCGGTGAGGCCGCCCTGCCTGCCTTGCGAAGGCCCCCGTTCCCACCCACTGTATTCTTGCCAAGGGACTTTGGGGTGCATAAGGGCACCCCTCACACGTCACATTCTTGCACACATACTCACTTTCTTGTATGCTACACTCCCATACATACTCAAATTCTTGCACGTGAGCATCACCTCTAGCACACTATCTTGCACACCTTCAACTTACGCATGCTCATCCTCACGCGTGCATTCCCACACTGTAGCGCAGCAGCATTGTCCTGGGGAGGGCTGGTCTTCTCAAAGAGCTGGGGAGAGGGGCAGGGACCATGCTGCTCACAGGCGACACGCCTGCGCACAATCAATTCTTTCCACCCTCCCTGGGGGTCTCCCAGGCGCCGACCCCAAGCAGGACACCCCAGCCTACCAGCCGCTGGTGTGGTTCTGGATCCTGCTCGGCCTGGCCTACTTCGCCTCTGTGCTCACCACCATCGGGAACTGGCTGCGAGTGGTGTCCCGCCGCACCCGAGCTGAGGTAGGTGCCTGGCTCAGCGCTGATGCATGTACCCCATCAGCTTGTTGACCGGTATGTCTCCCTTCCAGAGTGAGCTCTTGGAGGGGCTGCGAACAGAGGGGTAAACTGTCATTTGCAGGTGACTCTCCACCTCTGCCCTCAGGACATGGTTGCCAAATTTAGCAAATAAAAAAGTAGGAAGCCCAGTTAAATGTGCATTTCAGGTAAACAAGGAATAACATTTTAGTATACCAAACCCATTGCCATCGAGTCGATTCTGACTCATAGCGACCCTATAGGACAGATTAGAACTGCCCACTAGGGTTTCCGAGGAGCAGCTGGTGGATTCCAACTGCCGATCTTTTGGTTAGCAGTCTGAGCTCTTAACCACTGTGCCACCAGGCCTCCATACTTGTACTAGGACCTACTGATACTAACATTTTATTTGTTGCTTATCAGAAATTCACATTTAACTGGGCGTCCTGTATTTTGCAACCCTACTCGGAGCACCCAGCTGTGGACCGGGACAGAGGTGCAAAGGCCTTGGGGGCACGAGAGGGAGAGCTGAAATAAAACTAGGGCTTTCTAGAAAGCTCCGGGAGAAGGAGGCGCTTTGGTGCTGATGGGGGAGAAGAGCTTTCCGGGTGCGGGCTGAGGAAGGAGGACCAGGGGGAAAAGAGAGAACCAGAGCTGATTGGCGAAGGGGAGGGCGCCCGAGGACCCCTGGCCCCAAACGCTGGAAGCCGCCTTCCCTCTCCACGCAGATGGGCGGCCTCACGGCCCAGGCCGCCAGCTGGACCGGCACGGTGACCGCGCGGGTGACCCAGAGAGCCGGGCCCACCGGGCCGCCGCCGGAGAAGGAGCGGCCGCTCCTGCCTCCGCCGCCAGCCCCGACGCAGCCCGTCGTACGTCCCCTATCCCCTGCGCCTACCGAAAAGGTCGAGCCGCCTTCCCCGCCCACGGCTTCTGCCCTGGACTACCCCAGCGAGAACTTGGCCTTCATCGACGAGTCCTCCGACACGCAGAGCGAGCGCGGCTGCGCGCTGGCCCGCACACCCAGGGGCCGCCGCCGCCCCAACCCCCCCAGGAAGCCTGCGCGTCCCCGGGGCCCCGGGCGTCCCCGGGACAAAGGCAAGCCCGCGTAGGGCAGGCTCCCGGGCTGGCCTTCCAAGGGCTTTCTTTTCGCGCTCTCCCCGGCATGGCATGGCCAGTTTGTTTGACCAAAGAGCCCGCTTCTTAACGGGACTGACATCTGGGGAGAAGGCTACGGGCTTCCTGTCCACCACCAACTTCCCTCAAACCCCCGCCCCCATCCATCCATTTCCAGACCCCAAGGCTTTCTGTTTTGCTGCCCCGCCGGGCCTGCCCCTCACAACACCTCACGACTGTGCCTGAAAGCCTGGATCAATAAATGAAAACATTGTGCACCGTTGCGAGCCTGCGCGCTCCGGTGACGCGAGTGGGTGTGGGCGCGCTGGCGTCGGGCCGCCGCGGGGCACGGCAGGCCCCAGTGACCCCTAGAGCACCGACGTCGGTCATGGCCCGGCCCTCTCCGCTGTGCGCTGGCCCACGTCTCTGCCCTGGGGGCTACCGGGTGGGGCCTGGCATGGGAATCTGTCAAGATGGCCCAGGCTGCTCCAACCTCGGCACAGAGATTTGGGGGTGGGAGTGGCACAGAGTCGATGACATCTAAGCATGGAGGGCTGTAGCCTGAGCCCTCCAAGCGCGAGACCCCCATCGCCGTCTGCCCCTCCCCCTTCTTGGAGCGTGACCCCCTCCTAGCTCGAGGCCTGTGGGTCCGTTGGGGAAGAACCATGGAGGAAAAGCCGTCTAAAGAGCTCTTCCAGAGGCCGCCCGTGGCCTCTTCTGGAAGCACTGGTCCTCTGGCCGACTCTCGAGCCCCGCACCCCGCCAGCCCCCAGACTCATCCTAGGTCCGACTGGGGCCCAGGGCTCGCCGCTCTTCCCACCAGTCTCCACGCTCGACGGAGCCCCAGCCCTGGCTTGGCTCCGGATCCCTGTCGGCAGCCGGCTGACTCCTACTCCCTGCCACCCTCGGCTCCCCTCGTTGTGTGTGACCCACAGGCATCGCTCAAGTCGTTGGTCCATCATGGCTCCGACGAGTCGCACCAGCAGAGCGACATCCGGAAGCTGTGGACCACGGCCACGCTGTCCGAGATGAATCTGAACTTGCCGCTGTCCAAGGTTTCGGAGTGGTCAGACACAGATGGCAGCAGCTTTTGCCACCAGAAGAACGGCGTCGACTCGGACGCCGCCGACTGGGAGTGGGACGACGGAGAGCGCGTTACCCTGCCGAGTGACAACAGCTTCAAGCAAGAGTTGGACGAACACACCTTGTTGAAGCTGGAGCTGCACCGCGGCCGCTCCCAGGGGAGCAGTTTAGAAGAGGGAGACTCCAGGACCGAGGCCGGTCAGTGTGACTTCGCCGGCCGTGGGCGCCCGCAGGGCAGGGAGCTGGCCAGGGCCTCACTTCCAGTGGCTGTAAAATGAGGGGAGGTTGATAGTCTCCAGGTTTCTAGGATCCCCCGGGAGGGGCACCAGCGCCCATCTTTCGCGCTTTAAACCAACCAGACATTCTTGGAGCGCCCCCTACCGGGCAGGCGTGATACCAGTCTTTGGGGTTCGCGGCCCCAGGGGTAGGGAAGCGAGAGCCATGCACCAAAATGCGCAAAGGGAGGGCGGTAGGACCGGTGCTTTTAATGGAATCACTGGACCAGTTTAGAGGAGGGAGAAAACCCTGGCTGCGGACTGCCCTGGTTGAGATGTCTTTCATTCAGTCAGTAATTGGTTACAGATTTTGAGCACCTACTACGTGCCAGACACTATACGTAGCGGAACTTCTCCCCGCCCCCCCCCCGGAAACGCTTTTTCAGGGAATTGGAAGCGATAATATGATGAGTTCCATTTACTGAGCGCTTGCTATGTGCCAGGTACGGGGCTTCCCGGGCATTATCACCTTTAAACTTCACAAACTCCACAAGGGAGGACTGTTATGACCCCATTTTACAGATGAAGCAATTTGAGGGCACAAAGTTCCAGTTACTGGTCCTGAGTCTCCCAGTGGGGCAGTCAGAACGGCAACCTAGGTGGGTGGGACTTTAAAGTCCAGGATTGTCACCCTGTCCCATACTGTCTCTACTAAGGTAGAACCTGGCAGCTGGTCTCTGAAGGCCACCCCCTCACATGTCTACCCACACATCTCTGTTGACACTGTCCTCTTTTCTCTTCTCCCAGAGAAGTCTCCCTCAATGTTATCACTCAGTATCTCGAAGCACACACCTCATCGAGCCTACTGGACAGAGCAGCAGAACAGGGTTGGAGGGTCCCAGGGAGACTGGGGGTTTTAGTGGGTGGGGGATGGGAAAGTTGGGGGTTGCAGGGATGGGGGTGGTGGAGCAGGCAGGGCAATTGGGGATCTTCAGGGAGCGGGTGGGACATTTTAGCTTTCTGCTGCTTCTCCAGCTGCCGCTGCCCCTGACGGAACTCATGGAGAACGAAGCTCTGGAAATCCTCACCAAGGCTCTCCAGAGTGAGTCATCCCCTTCCCCTGCACTTCGTTAGGTGATTCTGGGGGGTTTGCAGGGCCTGTAGTTGTGGGATTTTCCTTGTATGCCTTGTCAGATCCCCTTACCACCCACAAATATTCCAGGGGCCCCACAAATAAGTAACAAGTTAGGGATCTGGTGCCAGGAGATGCAGTGGGGTGACCAACCGGGCCTGGGGCCAGCCCTAGTGCAGTCACACTCTAGCTGATGTGGCTTCTCTGAGGCTTTGTCTCCACCTGCCCGTGGGGATTACAGACTGTGTGGCTGTGGCTCCCTTCCCTGGGATGCTGTGAGGAGCTTTTGGACAGGATTATTTGGGTAAACTTCCCCTGGCTTGCCCTGCTTATGGTATGAACGTCCAGAGGGCAGAAAGTGTGGGCTATTGGCTTACAGTGGGTAGTCCATCCAGGAGATGTCCACAAAGTTGCCGGCTATCACTGCAACACCTTCTCTAACTTTGCCCTTCACCTTAACACCCGCCTTCTGCTTCCCCTTCCTGCCTGCCCTCATCTATTTGGAGCACCAGTCTAAGACTTGCCCATTTAAAACAAACAAAACCGGCAGTGCCCTAGCGCCTCGGAGATCGAAAGTTCCCCAAACCAACACAGACCCGAGCGCTGAGCGCTCCTGCCACTCCAAATCACCCGCAGTTCCTCCAGTCACACCTGCGGCGTCTGCTGCAGCGAAGACCATCCCCGTGCTCGCTGCCCTGAGCGGAGCCCTGCCCTCCTCCTAGGCTACCGGTCGGGGATCGGAAGGGACCACTTCCTGACCATGCAGCTTCAGCGAAGCATCGAGGGGCTCAAGAAGCGCCGCAACAAGAGGCTGCACGTCTCACTGCGCTGAGAGCACCCCGCGGGCTCGAGCGGCCGCCCGTCTCTAGCCCCAGTCCCTGTCCAGTCCCCAGACCCAAGCCCACCCCCGTCCGCGTGGAATCTGAGCCCGAGAGAAATAAAAGAGTGTATGCATGGTCCGTGAGTCAGTGCGTGTCTGTCCGCGTGAGGCGGACGCATGGGGCCCCGCCCTTCCCCCTGACCTTCACTCGGTCACCGCAGTGACCTTGAGCCTTCTCAGTCCGGGCCCTAGCGGCCTCGCTTTCCAGGGACTCGAAATCCAGGGCTTCTTGTATGTTTCAGGTCTGCTTCTCCCACCCCTGGTTCCGCAGCCTTGTAGGTATTGGGTCTGGGGTCCAGGGCCCCGATGGTGTTACCTTGGGGGAAGGGGAAAAGGGAAAGGGGCAGCAGCGCCCCTCCTGCTCGAGCCAGAGAGGCTCGGCTCCTCATGCATATGCAGATACGCAGCTTTTCCGCTAGTTCCGCCCTCGCATTTACATATGTATGTGGTCTACCTTCACCACAGCTGCGGCCGCGAAGCAACCTCGCCCACTCCTCTCTCGCACAGCGCGCCCCGCCTCCTCCGTTACGCAACAGCGTCCCTGGCCCCACCCTCTCTCGGCTCAAATTCCCGGCGCAGCTCCGAGTTTTCTCTGGCCCCGCCCCCTCGGCTGTCGCGTACGCATGTGCGCCGCTGTGGCTCGGCGGCGGCTGGGCGGGACCTTCGTGAAGGCCCGCCCACTTGCTTTGCCGGCTCCGCCCCGACTCGTCCGGGTACGCAGGCGCTTCCCGCCCCATTTGTCTGATTAGCATAGGGGGCCTGCCCCGCCCCCCTGCTTTGCATGCGCACAGCCGGCCCCGCCCCCGCTGTCAGCTGGAGGAAGCGGAGTAGGAAGCGGCCGCGATGTCCTTTTGTGTCCTACAAGCCGCCGGCGGCGCCGCCGAGTGAGGGGACGCGACGCGGAGGGGCGGCGCGGCCCGAGGA